CCCTAATTTTCTGAAACTCCCAAGAACAGCCTGCCCAGCTGAAGGCGGTCACACGCTCCCATTGGCAGACGATCGACATGCCAAACACAATGTCTGTGCGGCTCCGCCCAGTTGAGCTACATTACTCACTCATCAAAGACGCAACGGCCACACCAATGCTGGTGGGAATCAGGATATATGTGATTTCGGATAACTTGAGACGCACCTGGAGCCGTTATTCCTTGAACATGAGAAGTCTTCGTCCGAGACAAGCGGCTCGATAAGCTCCGGAAGAGGCATGACGCCAATGACAGCGACGCCCCGTAGCAGCAGCTCCCAGCAAAACTACGGCCCCTCTTAGGGGATCCCGGTAATTACTTCCCAAGGCTGTTCCTTGCTGTCAACGGTCACTCTTTCTTGCAGTGCGCAGGGTGCCAATGCATGACGTTCTCTGGTGCTTGTGTATGCTGAGCTGCCACAATGAAGGACTTAGCGATTTACAGTATCTCATGTCTTCTGGTATTGTATACTACGTGTCTTATTGCAGTATGTCGATGTATTATCATATCATCTGCTACCGTCTGTTCAAAGTTCGTCTGTCCCTGAGTCAGAAAGCTCAACAATCCTGAGAGCCAGGTCGCCTTTCGAAAGGATCCGCCCACTTATCGACAAGGCTAGGCTCTTCAGGTGAGCGTTTCCTGCACTGTTGGTTACGACATATTACAGCTCTTCTTCAACCCCATTTGAACAGTCTGACATCCGAAACCTAGAGACCCTATATCTGCTGCATCACCGCTGAAACTTGTGACCAGGACCTGCCTCGACCCACACTTCCCTGGAAATACATCCTGCGAAGAACTTCAAATGGAAGCGCTCAAACCCTCTTTCCAATTGCAGAAGTACAAGCTGGCAAGTCTACCACGCCTCCAAATCTCGAGCATGCAAGAAGCCCCAAACAAGACTAAGCCCGCTGAGCCAAGAATGGGAAAGACATGAGCGGCTCACATGCAAAAATGTTAAGGTATCAACACCGTACGGCAAAGGCCGCAAAGGTTCAACCCCAGAAATAAAGGCTGTCCGTTCATCTCCCACAGCACACACCCATCACCTAACTGCTGTCAAGCCCTAAAACCTAACCCGACACCATTAACCGAACCCTTAAACTCTCTTTTCAAGAGGGGCTGCAGTGTATATGCCCTCATGCCCGCATCACACCGAAGCTTCAGCCCTCGTGTCGGCATGCTTCCAAAAACTCATGCGCTTAAACCACAGAGCCTTAAACCCGAGCCTCCAACTCCTGAACCAAAACCCTCGGGCCACTGCCAGTTCCGTTGTTGACTCCAGGGGACGCCTCGAACTTGGCTGTTTGCTGCTTCCGGGCTTCTGAACTGTTTCAGGTTTCGGGGGCTTGGGGGCTTGGGGTTTGTGGGCTTAGGTTAGTTCGGAGCTTCACGGTATGGGACTTGGAAAGGTGAGTTGCGGCGTTGACACGTGCTCGCAGACGAACCCAGGCAGGAATGGCAGAGTTGGCCTTGGCCCAAACCCTGTTTAACTTCCCAAACCGAGTCCAAACCCATCAAACCTCAAGCTGGACAGCCATGCGAAGACCTTGCCAAATTAAAACACTGGTCACACAACATTAGGCCCTGTCAAGACCCGACGAAATCCGAACCGATCAACAAACGCTAAACTCTTTCGACCGCGACTCTCTTTAACAACAACAGAGCCCTCTCTCCTCGATGTTCTTTGCTCTTTCCCTCTCTCCATCTACATAACACGTTCCTGATAATTATTCATATTCTTAGTAGTACTTGTAGTTGTAGTCGTCGTCGTAGTA